GGAGCTAGTAATGTGTTCTACCCCGTAGACGTTCATAAAATGCTTGAATTCTGCCGAACTGTACTGCGGTCCGTTGTCGGTCGTCAACTGCGTAGGGATGCCGTGTTCTGCAAAGATGCTCTTCAGATGGTTGATAACTGCAGATGACGTGGTGCTTGTTAGTCTCCTGATGACAGGAAATCTGCTGTATTGATCTGTCAACAGGAGGTATTGCTGCCCTCTAAATTCGAACAAGTCCGAACTGAGTCTTTCCCATGGTCGGTGTGGCGGTTCTGGCTGTAGTATTGGCTCTTTCCTTGCTTTATTTTGGTATTTCTGGCAGGGTTCGCACTGGTTAACTTGGTTGATGATTTCCTTTGTAATTCCAGGCCAGAAAACGGATGTACGTGCTCGTAAAAGGCATTTCTCTTGCCCTAGGTGGCCTTGGTGTATGATGTTCAGGATTTCAGGTCTGAGAGTAGGAGGTATCACGATGCGGTCTCCTTTTAGTACTAAGCCGTCCTCGATGGTCAGCTCTTCTCTGAAATTCCAATAGTCATGTAGCAGTTGGGGGCACTCTTCTCTTTTCTGTGGCCATCCTTCAAAGACCATTTCTTTTAACAGAGACAACACAGGATCCCTCCCTGTTTCGTCACGGATCTGTTGTAGCTTTGTTGGAGTTGCAGGGAGATGTTGTGTGACGTGGTGGACATATATCTCTGAAAGTTGACTGCTGCTAGGGGTAGGCTGGGGGCTGACTCTTGAGAGAGCGTCGGCTATTGGTACATCAGGACCTTTTACGTAGTTGACCGTAACGTCGTATTTCAGGGCTCTCATCAAGAACCTCTGTAATCTAGGTGGGCAACTGGACAGTCGCTTCTTGAAAATCGCCTCAAGAGGTTTATGGTCAGTGTTTACTGTACAGTGCTTCCCAAAAATGTAGTAGTTAAATCTCTCTAGGCCCCATACTACACCAAGTGTTTCTCTCTCAATGTTGCTGTAGTTTTTTTCTGTGTCTGTAAGTGCTTTGGAGGCATAGCATACAGGTTGCCCCTGCTGCAAAAGGACGGCGCCTACTCCCTTCTGGGAAGCGTCAGTTTGAATGACAGACTCGATGTTTGGGTCAAAGTATCTGAGGACTCCCATTGATGTGATTTCCTGTTTGACTTGGTTGAATGAGTCGTCGTGTTCAGGTCCCCATACATATGCGGTGTCCTTCTTGGTAAGTTCTCGCAGTGGTGCTGTGAGGCTAGCCAATCGCCCTGAGTATCTTGTAAGGTAGTTTACGAGGCCTAAGAAGCTTTGGAGGTCTTTGCGGTTCTCAGGTGGGGTCATCTTCTGGATTGCAGATATCTTACTGTCATCTGGTTTGATTCCATCCTGGGTCCATTTGTGGCCGAAAAAGCTGACTTCCTGACATTTGAGCTGTACTTTGTCTTTGTTGAATTTGATTCCCCTTTCCCTGGATCTGATCATGAGGTTTACCATGTTCGCATCGTGCTCTTCCTCTGTAGCTCCGTATATGAATGTATCGTCTGCAATGCCGGTGACTCCTTTCAGGCCCTCCAGTGCTGAATCTAAGTGTTTCTGGAACACATCTTGTGATACAATAAGGCCAAAGGGGAGCCGGGTGAAACGGTATCTCCCGAACGGGGTGTTGAAAGTAGTCAGGTAGGAGCTGGCTTCGTCTAATGGTACATGCCAGTAGCCCTTTTTGGCATCAACTACACTAAAGAATTTGGCACCACTAAGCTGTGTGACTACCTCATCAATTGTTTTGGTGTAGTAGTGTTCGCGTTTTATTGCCTTATTTAGGTCACGTGGATCGAGGCAGACTCTGATTTTGGTGACTTCTCCTTTGCCGTTGGTTGTTTCAGAGAGGACGATGCTATTAACCCAGTCTGTGGGTTCGCTTACGGGTATGAGCACTCCAAGTTCTACCATGGTGTTGATTTCCTTTCTAAACATGTCTCGAAGGTGTACTGGTACGGTACGTGGTGCGTGGATGACAGGTTCAGCATTGGAGTCTAGGGTGATGTGATAAGGTTTCATATTGAAGGTTCCCAGGCCTTCAAAGCAGTCTCCGAAGTTGTTGAAGAAGGTTATCCTGTCCAGTGGGGGGTATGTTTCAGTGTCTAGACGGCTAGGGTATCTGCTGGTCCTTTGGTGCGGTTTGCATGGTCTGTGTTCTTTAAGGCGGGTCTCTTTGTCTTCTTTGGAGGTTTCTAGGCTGCAATTAAATTTTACTAGCTCAAGTTCCTCGCAGGTTTTACAGCCAAGCATTGTAGGTCCTGGTACGTCAGTAACATTGAAAACGACTTCTTTAATGCTGCCATTTTGATGGACGTATAGTGGACAGGTTCCAAGGGTCTTGATGGCGTGGCCTCCATACGCAGTAATCCTGTGGTGTGTTGGGCCAAGGGGTATCTGCTGGGAACTGCGGTTGAGTCTGTCATAGTCGTCTTTGGAGATGACATTAACTTCTGCACCAGTGTCGACCTTGCAGATAATAGGTATCAGGTGTGTATCATGGGGGTCTACCGTGACTTGTATTTCAGTCATGACTTTGGTGCGTTGTTTTTCTTTTTGTTCAATGCTTGCGATCATTGAGGTACTGGGGCTGTCTCGGGCTTCTAGTGTTCCCAGGAAGACTTTGTCGTAGCTTGTGCATTCACTTGTTACACCATCAGGTTGTTCTTTTTGTAGGGTCATCACATCTGACCTTGTTTTAGACTTGCAAACTTTGCTAAAATGACCGCGTTTGTTGCAGTTGAAGCATTCTACTCCAGTGGCTGGGCACTGCTGGTCTTTGGTGTGTGGTGTGTCTCCACATCTGTAGCACTGTCTTAGGTTGTTGTCACGTCGTCTGTTTCCTCTACCACTGGTGTACCTTTGGTGGGGCTGGTTTCTGGGCTTGTTTCCTCTGCTGATTGCATTGACTTCCCCTTCTTCTTGCTTTGGGTTTGTAGTGTCACTCATTGCTTTTAATTGCATCTGGGTAGCCTCATCAGTTCGTGCAATTTCTTTTGCCCTTGCAAAGGTTAATTCATTACCGCGGGCAATGCATTTTCGTCTGACCTCTTCCGAATCGGTGCCGAAAACTAATGTGTCACGCATGAGTTCGTCATGTAAGTCAGGTGGGTAACCTGAGCTCTGTATGAGTAGCCTTGCTTCAGTCAGGAAGGTGGCTAGGGGACGATTATTCTGTTTCAGACCTCGTAGATAATATCTGTTCAAGATATGGTTTGCTTGTGGTTTAACATGGTCTTCGAATCTTTTCCAGTATTCTTTCAGGTCTTTTTGTTGGTCTTCGGTTAGCGACCAAGTGTTAAATAAGTCTATTCCGTAATCGCCTGACCATAGTAGCACATATTTGCATTTTTGAGTGCCGTCTCGAGCTTTTAACGGTCCATCAAGTAGCAGTTCACACTTTTGGCGGAATCTCTTGAATCTAGTTAATAAATCTGGGCCAGGGGTCCAGTCCATTTTTGGTACTTCAAACCCAACCAAGTCGCTCATTTTTGGCTAAATTGCACGATAAGACAGGACTTTGTAGTAAACACTGTAAAATCGTACGTACCGGTTTTCTTGGTTGTTCTAGCGGTGAGAATTCCTCTATTGGTGTAAATCTATCCCACTTCCGACATCCATGTCACAATTTTTCCATTTAAACTCTTTATTCAATAACGCAACAGCTACTACATGACAACATGGGCGAAATCAAAATGGCGGGTCCGATACCACGTTTTTTCCCACAGGTCCGATGGGAGCGCGTGGTATGACGTAATATGACAGTAACAAAACATGTTAGTCTACTCAGTATCTTGAAAAACTGAAAATGATAGAGTAGATTTTATAACAACAACATGAGGCTATGATGAAGTTCAAAATGCTATGAAAATTAGATTTTTCCATGTCTAAACGTTTCGTGTCTGTGTGTCATAGCATTGTTTAACAATTTTTCTTAACTTAACAGTAACCTGGATGATACTAACTCGATTAGTCACAAGGTAAAATGCAATAATTAAAACATGTCAATCTACTCATTTACAATGTAGTTCAGATACTAAATGAGTGAGACTAATTTTTGTAATGGTAACATGAATAATAGTAAATTGAATAGTTTCAAGAAAGTTATGAAGTTGGTAATGCTATGAAACTTTTTGCAATGTTTAAAAGTTCTGGTGTTTGCATGTCATACCATAGTTTAACAAAAAAATTTTAATAGTAACATGAATAGTAACTTGAATAGTTGCATGGGATTGGTTAGTTGCAAGAGAAAATGTAAAAAAACATGTCAATCTACTCAGTATCTTGAAAAACTGAAAGAGATAGACTAAATTTTATAACAACAACTGGAACATGAAGCTGTGATGAAGTTCAAAATGCTATGAAACTTAGATTTTTTTCCATGTCTAAATATTTCGTGTTTGTGTGTCATAGCATTGTTTAACTATTTTTCTTATCTTAACAGTAACCAGGGCCGGGTTGTTCAAAGCGTGATTAAGCAAACCCAGGGTTAGCGTCAATTTTTATTCCAGTTAAATTAATAACCAAAAGAGATTTTCTTAAGGATTCTTGCTCTTTAGTTTTATTTTTCGATTTGACTTCATGTGCAGCTTATAATTAGCTTTTGAAATCTTTTTAAACAAAAGAGATTAAATCTTTGATTAAGCTTTAATCGTGGGTTAGCAGTAATCGTCTTTTGAACAACTGGGCCCTGGATGATACTAACTCGATTAGTCACAAGGTAAAATGCAATAATTAAAACATGAGAATCTACTCATTTACAATGTAATTTAGATACTAAATGAGCGAGACTAATTTTTCTAACAGTAACATGAATAATAATAAATGGAATAGTTTCAAGAAAGTTTAATATGAAATTCAAAAATTAAGTGCTATAAAAGTTTTTGCGATATCTAAAAGTTTTAGTGTTTGTATCTCATAGCATGAATTATTAGTAACTTAAATAGTTACTAGAGATTGGTTTGTTACAAAGGAAAATGCAACAAAACATGTTAAATGGCAATTTTTTCAATGTCCACAAGTTTTCGCGTTTGCGTGTCAAAGCATACTTTAACTGTGTCTAGGTTTAAGACAGCCTCTGTGATTTCCTCCTCTGTTGTTTCATTTGCAATTAAGTGACAAATTGAAAACAACTTTGGCACTGCTTCTTGATAAACCTGTAGCTGAAGCTTCTGCAGTGGTTGTTTGGAGTTTTGGATATGGATCTTGAGTGTCCACTTTACACTGCAGCTGGTTGCCTTTTGTGTTACTTTGCAGTTATCGCAGACTGCAATTTTTCCCTTGATTGTAACTTTTTTTGAACATGAACAACAACAGTTGTATTTGGTGACACTGCTTATTCCTAGTATTTCTCCAATGGTTTCTGTTGTTGTTGAGATGTCACTGACTTCAGGTAATGTTTGTTTGAAGGGTTCAGCGTCCTTGATGGTGTATAAATTATCTTGTTTTGGTGTGTTCAAGTATCTTTGATTCTGAGATACTTTCATTCTCAAGTTGTTGAAGAAATAGGTGGACTGTGGTGTGACGCTGTCAACATGCTCACCCCAGAAAATAACTTTTATGTAACCAGATGGATCAACTATATAGCCTTCCTGTTTTTTGACAGGAGAATCTTGGATGACTATAGTTTTGGTCGCACTTAGATGTGATATCTTTCCTTTTATTGACACTAGCTGTTGTGGTGCTACTTTTGACAAGGATGCAATTGATGTGACATCATCTTGTGCTTTGTATGGAAAATCAGCTGTTGTTGAAGTGATGGTTGTGTTCCTGTTTATTACTACATCACTTCGTCCATACTTATTGCTGATGTTAAAATTTGAAATTTTAACCGGTGATCTTTGTGCGGCCATTGCATCAAGAGTTTCCTTCTTTTCAGTTGCAAAGCATACACTGCCAATGAGATCTTTCTCTGTCTGAAGGTGGCAGTTAAAGTAGCTTGTTGGTCCAGATTTTTTTACTGGTGAGACATTATGCACAAAGCAAGTTATGTCTTGTTTTTCTGTAGGAGGAGGTAAAAAGATATTTAGATTAATGTAATAAATTTGGCATGGATGGGATTACTGCATAAGGTAGCTTGTGTTATTTGAAAAAAACATATGTGTAAATATTAGTCTCCTTGTTTCATGTACTGTAAATCCTCTATTAAGCCCACAGGGGGCTTATTGTTTTAAGGCGCATTGGGGGGGGGGCTAAATAGAAAGGAAGGGCTTAATAGAAGGGGAAGTGTTAAAATTTAGCAAAACAGGAGCAGTTCACCACTCATTAATTACTGTAATTAAGATTATTTTTAGTACAAATAACAGTGATATTTTGGCCAAAGTTCGCCACCAACATGCAAGAGGTGTGGGAAAAATAAATTGTATCATATAACTACATGAGAACATTAAAGGGTGACAAAAGTGATAGGAAACAGTGTACATCTAATACCTAGATGTTCAAAATAATATGTTTTATTAATGAGAGCATATAGAGCAGGTAAGGTTATAAAATGATTTTAAAACAAGAAGCATTAGTTTAATAGAAGAAAGGAACGTATAACCATAATATTTAAGTATGACCGGGAGATACATACCTGAAGCCATATTAGATCTCTGTCTTGTCTGTTGAAAAAAAAAAAAAATAAGGATGTATACAGATGTTTTAGGAGGGTGTTTAAAATACCTTTAAACCCTAGTTAATACAACACTCTGAAACATTACATGGAACTTTGCTTTAAATGTAGTTGGAAAGTGAACTATTTATAACCATAAAAAAAAATCATTTATGTATGCATGTGTTGAAGGCCGTATAATCAATTTATTCTAATTAATCAATTTTGGGTGCTGTACTGTTGTGAGTGACTTTGTTCGCATCACTCAACTTGGGATCAATTTATATTTGCTAGATTATATAGCCTGCTTTCTTCTTCAAGTCTATATTTTAAATTAGTGGATTTCTTAAGACTCTTAAGTCTTTCAAAAGTCATTGGTTCAATAATACAAGATGAAAGTGTTTTCACTCTGCTTATAGCTACATATGAAATGCCTGCAGTAGTTTCAGTCTGACCAATGTCAATCCATGCTTTTGGCAGTGTTAACCCTTGGCTCTTGTGTATTGTGATTGCCCAAGCAAGTTTGAGAGGCAACTGTTGTCTCTCATGTAAACCATCTAGTGTCTGTGAGGTTATTGTTATTGGGCATATAGGCACACATCGTGGAATGCTATCACTGATAGATGGACCTCTATACTCATTAAATTTTACTATGACAGCGACAGGCAAGTCTGGTGGTTGCTGGTTGTTTGCATAAATGAAATCTTCAACCGTTCCAGTTGCACCGTTACAAAGTCCAACATCTATCCATAGGTTCATGGTAAGCATTACATGTGCACCTTTTGCAAGGAAAATGGTCGGTTGTAAACCTGACATGTCATCTGAACTTGCTTTCTTAGCTATATCACTAGAGTGACGTGCAGTGATGCAGGCTATTGGCTGATGAAGTTCTGATAACTGTTCAAAGTTATAATTAGCAACTTCTTCATTGCTGAAATAGAGCCTAGTGGCATCTTGAAACTCATTCACGTTCAATGCTATGGAAGGCTGTCTTGCCAAAAGAAGTTTCCAATCTTGCTCATTAGAATCTCCTGTGCGAAGGCGTATGAGTAAATCTCTAAACTGAGCTTGCTGTTGATTTAAGCCTTGAACCCTCTGGTTTACTGACAGTTTTACAACATTGCCAAACATGTGATAAGCTAAATAGCCTTGTTCACCTGTCCTTTAACACTAGCTTGAGCTAAAGAGAATTTTCCCGTTTTAAGGGACTTGTTAGGCCCAATAGAACCGGAGATATCGACCTGTAGAAAATAGCCTTGTTCACCTGTAGAACTGGAGGGTCTCGAATGATATAATGGCTTATCTGCCACTGGAGGCAATTGAGCTGGGTCACCAACTAATATCATGGATTTACCACCAAATACTTCGTCATTTTTGCCTGTTGCTTGTCGGCAGCGTCTATCAATCCAGCCAAACAATGTTTGTCCTAGCATAGAGTATTCATCAATTAGGATATAACTGATATCTTTCAGCTTGGTTTGTAATGTGACAAGCCCTTGTCCTGTTAATTCTTTGTTATGTCTTGGGCCAACAGGCAATTTTAATAGTGAATGGATTGTACATCCGTTTATGTTAAATGAAGCTTTGCCAGTTGTGGCAGTCACTGCACAAGAGTGTTGGAGCAGGTTTCGGATGGCATTAATGAGGTAACTTTTCCCTGTACCGGCAACTCCAAGTATAATAAGAAGCAATGGATCTTTAGGGCAGGCTTGTTCAGAATGTGCTTTCACCATATTGTAGGCATGTCTTTGCATGTCACTGAATGTATTAACATCAATATTTTGTTGTTGCAAACCAAAGGTAGAATCCAAAGTATCTTTCTTAGTTTTTATCCAGGATGGCATTTCCTGTATTAAGTGATTTGCATACTTAATCTTGTCATTTTGCCAGTCATAATCAGGCTGAGAGGTTTGTTGTGTTATATTATCTTGGTTAACAAAATACCCAGGTATGAGATCTGCTAAATCCATCCACTCTTCACGCTGTGGAAGCTCTTCTGAAGAGTGCTCTATATTTGGTTCCTCTTCTGTGTTATTCTGTACACTTTGTAGTTTTTCATACCAGTCAGGAACATGCTCTTCAGCATATGGTGTTTGTAGAAATTCCTTCCATTTTGTGATGTATATTTCATCAGTGCCTTCCTGACAATCCCAGGCATTGTCTTGTGTAGTATGCCAAGGTTTGTGCTTAAGTAACTGATATTTGCAATAAAGTCCAAAATTTGGACCTTTTGAATTGGAAGAAAATACTGGAAAAACTCTGGGAATCATGTTATGAGGCTGAACTGTTAGTTTGTTGTTGACAAGTTTGTATTTTGTTGCAAAATGAATGAAATTAAGAGCCATTATATCTGGGATGGTTTGAATATATTTTTCCCTTTTAGCGTAAGTATCAAGCAATGAGTCATTGGTTACAGTATCTCCATCATTTGTTATAGTTTTGATTCTACGTGAACCATTTAGACTAATAGGTACCACATTAAATGATGAGCTGACAAGTTTCAGTGACATGAGATGATGCATAGTCTCTTGTGCAGAGAAGTCACGTTGGCCAAGTGACTTCATTATCACTTTTTTTATCAATTTTGTAGGGCTGCTATTGTTGTTGCAATTACGGACAATAGAATTAAATGCAAGTTTCATTACAGGTGACTTTGGTTCACCTTTTGAAGCATATTTTGCAAGGTATTCAACACATGCATGATAATCAATGATCACTTGAATATCACAGTTTGCCCTCCAGCCTTGAAGCTGAAGTCGTTGGTGATTATTGAGTCTGCTATCATTCCTCTTTGTTATGATCTTTGCTTTGTATTGAGTGCTTCGATCTTTTGTATGAATGGGCTCAAACTCTAGTTTTGTATTAACACAAGGTTCAAATGGAAACTTAAATCTACATTTCAGTTCTATTTCGTTTTGTTTCTTTCTAAGACAATAGTTTGTACTACAGCGAGTGTGCCTTTGTACAGTATTCAACAAATCAACATAATCTTGTTCAGAGTCTTGTAAACTTACAAGGTCCTTGTGACGCTTTTGACAAGGATGAATAGAGGGCTTCACCCATGTGCCATTATCTGGTGGATCTGGATTATATGTAGACAATAACCAATCTACATACTGACAAACTACCTGGGAAGCCTTTTTCCCATCCACTATCTGTTGATTGAGTTCTAGTATATTGACTTGCTCAGCTGTATTAGTGGACATTTCAGCCAAATAGCCTTTTAGAGCTGTTTCTGAGAGTTTACATAAACCTGGATCATTTTTCAGCTTTGCTACACCATGACAATGTATACTACCTCTAGCTTGATATTCAAATCTGTACCAGTGCCACTCAGCATCTAGTGAATTGTATAACCAGTATTTAATAAAACTTTCTAAACGCTGTGTAAAGAACCAGTCTGTAATATGAGGATTGTTAATCACATTCTGCCGTTTGTTGTCAGTTGAATTATTACTGACTGAGTTGCCAAAAATTGCATGAAGTTCAGGCCAATGCATATCAGCAGAGGAGAATGTGAAAAAGAATGTTGGAGCTCCAGCATGGGCTATTATTGCTTTTAAATCTTCTTTAGCTTTGTGCCAATAAGCATTAGAACCAGTAATGTTACTAAGATAGCGTGATATCTTAGATATAAACATACTTGTGTTATTGCTAGTTGCCATTTGCCGCAGCTCCTCAGCAGTCAAATGAGCTTCTCCTGGGTTTTGTTTTAGGAACATGCCTGTCTGTTGCAGAATACGTTTTCTTTGTATCATATTCAATGCCCAGTAACCAAATCTGGGGTGAGTAGCAAAGCGATATACCCATTTGTCATTCTTGTTTTCTCCAAACTTTAAAAGGTGCTTTACTCTTTCTCCGAGTGGTATATCTCGGCGTAATGATGGGTTAGTAGGATCACCCTTACCATCTGGAAATAATGTTGGGAAAACCATTGTTGCTAAATAGGGAGTTACATACTCGTTTAATGGTTCACTGCCAACTGTTGGCCAGGGCAAGTGATTAGAATCATTAGACAATTGTTGGCGCACAGCTTCTATTTCTTGCTGCTGACACTCTGGAATAGGCAGAAAACTACTCATTTCAGTACCCTCATTATAAACAATGTCATCTTCATTTTGAGGACCTAAGTCAGGTTCACATGTGGCATCCAAATCTATATTCTCTGTTTCAACCGAGAGAAGACCATGTGGAACACCATGTTCTGGTAAAGAATTTAAAGAATTTTGATTGATGGTTATGTCCTTGTAGTGTGAGTTATTATTAACAAGCCATTGTAGTGCATCAGCTACATTTTGCCTTCGCACTGTCACATCTTTAAAACTGTTCTCTTTACCTTTCATCTTAACAACAATAACAGATAGATCTTTTGGGTATCTAGGCAGAGAATGTGCTAGTTCAGCTATATCCTGAGGCAAATTGATACAGTGGCCTGAATAGCCCCTTTGTCCACCAGGTTTTATGTAAACTCGCATAACAGGAAGTGCACGTGCAATAAGCATTTCTTCTACTTGGGTTAACCCCTGCAGTTGTAAAGGTACTAATGATGGCACCATGTCATTTTCCTTAGAAAACTTTTTTGGTTGTTGTTTATCTCGTATGCACCTCTGACACTGGTAGTGATCAACCTTCCTTGGACTGGATTTCAATGGCCATGCTTCAAAACAGACAGTGCATTGGCAAACTGAATACTGATTGGACTTATGAAAATCGTTCATGTTATTTTGTGCATGTTTTTGTTCGTGAACTGGACCAGCAGAGCTCTCTTTTTGTCCTGCAGAAATTGTTTGAGACCTTTTATAACTGGCTCTCCTATTTGCAAGTCTCTCTTTTCGCTTTTCAACAGTTTCTTCAGACGTTCTTTTTCTATAAGAGTCTTTGTAACTTTTTAGTCTCTCTTTTTGCTTTTCAACAGTTTCTTCAGACACTCTTTTTCTATAAGTGTCTCTCTTATTTTTAAGTCTCTCTTTTCGCTTTTCAGCAGTTTCTTCAGACATTGTTTTTCTATAAGTGCCTCTCTTATCTTCAAGTCTGCTTGCCCTTTCATTAGCTGTTTCTGTATATTTGACTCTTTTCATGTAATTTCTGTGCTTAAGAAGTCTACCATGTCTGTTTTCATTGGTTTCTGATAATTTTCTCTTTATGCATGTGAGTTTGTTTTTATATCTACTGTTTTTGTCAGTCAATGTTGAAACATAATGCAACTCGTTAATATATCCAATAAATATTGTCTTTCGTCCATCCTGATCAGCAACAGGAGTTAAGATTGTACTTTCAGGTGAATTTATATTAGACTGTGTGATATGAATGACACAGTTGTATGCATTGGCCACAGCTTGCATTATGATGTTATCACACCATGTGCCTTGTTTTGACATTTGTTGAATATAGTTATTCCAGTGATCATTAGAAATGCTTTCAATATACAATTCTGGGTAACTCTGTAAATGGCCAATTCCAGCCATACGAATTTCAAGATGCAAGTCAGCAGTCCTATACAGTTGGTGTGAAACTGATTTAAAGAAACAATCTCCAAATCCACCTACATCATGTGGTATAAGTCCTATGAGACGAAGCCTTTCAGTTAAACAATCCCATGGTAAATCATGACTAACAGCATTCTCAGGAGACATACCTCCATTTAATTTTGAATTATCATTATGAGTTTGAGGAAAGCTTTTTCCACCAGAATTCATTAAATCTGCCACACGGATATGTGTTTGTCTACAGTTACATGTAGAATAGTTATCTGTTGTTGTAAATTTTCTTTTCTGTATGTTCATGTAAAAAACAAATTTACTATAATAATGATCATTGGTATACCAGAATTTCCAGGTGTTGTAATTTCTACATAAATTAGTGATAAAAGAACTGTCTGGAAGATGTTGTCTTACAAAAGACTTGATTCTATTCCTAGACTTCGTATTACTTAGTGCCTTTAGAATTATTTTAACAGGAACGCGAGATGGTTCCCTGTCCCTTTTCCTCTGACAATTCACTCTTTTCTTACGAACTTCAACATTTTCAGAAATAGTTATACTATGATTTTCAATTTTCTCAGAAGAATAACTTGTCAAAGCCTTATCATGATCTTGTGAACTACAATCACCACTTATCAGCCCGGTAACCATTTGACTTTTGTCACTTTTCATTTGGCGCAATGGCCATCGAGCAGAATGACTCGGTTTATTTGCTTTGTGACCACAACGGGTCATTTGGCGCAATGGCCACCGAGTACAATGACTCGGTTTGTTTGGTTTGTATTTGTGACCGCTATGGGTCAAAGCACAATGGCTTGGTAGATTTGCTTTGAGACAACTTTGTGTCAGAGTTATCGGTTGATTTGCTTTGTTGTTCGGCAAATTCGAGGACATCAATTCAAAGCAGGAGAGCAGCGAAGGTCTTCGGTTTGTTGTAGTTCGGACAACGCCGACATCGGGCTTTCTACATGCTCTTGGAGTACTAAAAAGTTTCCTGGTAAGGCTTTGACAAGTTGAAGCGATGAACTTTTTAAGAAACATCGCATGAAGTTTGAGAAAAATAAATGAACTTACCGAATAATCCAAAGATATCCACGGAGGCGACACGGACGCACGAGCAGCTTGCACTCGCACGAGGTATAGGTGCGTGCGCACTCGCACGAGGTATAGTTGCTTGCGCATAAAAATAGTTGTGTGCGCATGTCCACCAGGTGAGCCCGCAATTTCTTTGGCCGGCTATTGGGCTTAAAATTCGTGCGCGCGCTTAATAATTATTCAAAATGGCGCAGATTTTGAACATCGCCCGTCCAAGTAACCAAAAATCTCGAATCTTCACGCCTGGCATGCACAGGTATCCCATCGACCACAGGATCCCCAAAGATTACGAAGCGTTCTCCTAACGTCGAACGCAATCATTTACACGACCTTATAATTACAAACATTTAAAATGAAACCAAGTATCTTTCAAGTTGACTGATAAAGTGTAGGTCTTGTTGAAACCATCCACTGGAGAAAAAAATGGCGCGAATATTGTTTTCACGGTTTCAGACGCCATCTTGTTTCGGAAGGTTGCTTGATGCTAGATCATTTGAGGAAGGGAATTGTAAATTTAATTCTAGTATCAAGAAAGCCGACGAGTTGCTGTACGAAAATGTCTCGCTTCTTAGCTAATCTGTACAAGTTTGATCGGCAACATCTTTCGCTAGGCATTATTTCTTTCATTAGTGATCATAAAATTTTCAAAGTCAACCTTTTTCAACCCATTGACGCCTGGGGACTTAGCGCGCACCTACCCCCTAAAAACCTGGCTTTTTTACGGCATTTAATTCAAACGCACGAGACAAAAAATAAACCATGTGCACAGTAAATTTTGACAAATAATTATTTCCTGAAGTTTTCTTTTATTACAAAAAGACATCCTGAAGGACAATTTTACGAATTAAAATACATGTCAGCCGTGACAAACTGTTCACAAAACAGACTTTAAAATATAACTAAAATTTTCATCTCCTCCGCGCGTCTTTTTCGAAACTCGAATAATACAAAAAAAAATTGTAAAAAGTCCCTAAAATATCTTAAAATACAGGACTAAAAGGTATGTTATCATTCTGTACAACTTACACAGACATAAATGTTATGACACTGTGGTGTTTTCCTTGTGC